TCAATAAGTTTGGTATCAAACTGTAGATTATAATTCAAGTTTTAGTACCATGTTACTCAATTTTTTAATTTAAAAGCAAATATTAAGAAAACACAGATAAACATTGATTTCTGCGTGTCACGTGGTATGTTGAATGCAGCACTGGTTCAAATTAGATGTTTGTGAAGTCAAAATACTAAGTCTATAGTTTCAAATGAATTAGAAACTAAAATTACCGATATTGACAAGCTAGAGTATAAAATATGAGCCTCATATCTTTTCAATTTGCTAAGATTTTGCTCATGTAATAAATCAAACACAGTGGCACCCCACCCACCTCTTTCCATTTTTGGAAATGCTCCCTTGTATACACTTACTTTTATATATGACATGAATAACCAATCGGAAGCTCATAATGTCCCCCTAGTGGCTTTCTCACCCATTTTAACGGTCTTGGCTCCATTTCTTTCTTTTGAACCAATATTTCAATGAGGTAGGGTGTGTCTTTAGTCTGCTCAAAATTTCATACTTTTTTAGACTAAAATACATCTTAGTTACTAAGCTTTATAAATTATAGTAGAATTCTATGGTATTAAGGTAGTAATTTATGATTTTTTTTAGTTATTCAAATGTATATATAAAACTTTAAAAAAAAATTTTGTTTCTTATCCTCCACGTGCAAAATTTTTAAAGGCTTAGCAACCTACATCAAGCAGCAACCGAGTACAAAGGTTGTAACTAGAAGAGATAATTGTTTGCTTTACTTCTTTATTTACTGTTTTATGTTTTAGGAAAAATATGTTTAAGAACTTATTTCAAAATAACTAATGTATGTACATATATAATGTATAATAATTGAAATGTAGCTGTATTTTACAAAATACAAGTCTACCAAAACAAAGCCAAGACAAGTTACTTTGTACAGACCAAAGGTCAGTTTTATGTTATTTGATACAGTAACATAAGTGCTTGTGAGCCGTGTCATTGTAAGTTCTGTAATGTTAGCCAGGCATGGATGAAAGGTCAATATAATAACAATAATAAATATATATATATATGTATAATGTTATGAGATTTAAGCTATTTTGTCTAAACATTTATGTTTTCCTGTTATACTTTGTGTTCATTCTAGAATGAAAGAGGCATAGTTTATATTTATTACCTAATTTTTTATGGTGGTTGCTAGATCAGTCAAATCTACCAAACCCGTACATAGATTAATTATTGAAAATAACAGATAAAATAGTTTTTTAAGAAACATTTTATAACTATCTGGACATTATAAAGATTTTGCATGTGAAATTTCAAAATTCTCTGATTCGTAAAAGTATTTTTAATCTTAAAATGAATATTACTTTGCGTGATAGATAGGTAACATGGGAAAATAAAAAATAGACATGAAAAAAGCATTTCCTTATAAACCTTAAGACTTAATAAAAAAAATTTATATTCTACACATGAAAGCATTGTAATATTTACTGATAATGTGCCAAATTTTGTTAAAATTTGCTTACTAATTTAAAAGTTATAGCATGAAAACTATAACAAGTACAAAATGGTTACGAGGTCAGTCTCAGGGACCGAGCCTGTGCTGAAAGAATTAATGACCTAATCTGTTCTTCATTGCAGTTAATTTTGTTAAATCTTATATTCATTATAGTAGTTTTTGAATTAATTTTTCCATTGTTAGCTTAATAACCTAACTTAATCTACCTGAAGCCTTAGAAATGTTAGTGTAGCTAATAATGATTAATGATTCACTGCATTCTAGTATATATATAGTCTTCTGTTAAATTGATTTTTAATGTCATGTTACATACTTTTACTTAGTTTTATATATAAGTTGTTCTAATATATATTGTTGACTTACTTTGAATTAAAAGTACGTATTATTTATGAATCACTTGTATAGTGGAAGCTAGTGTGAGATAGCACTTTGTAAATGTGTATGTTTTATAAGCTTTTGACTTTAAGATGAATGTCGTCAAGTCTTTAGATTATTATTGACTTTAAAGATGTACATTTATAATCTAAAGATAATTTTATCATGTACTATTATAGCTTTGTAACTTGGTGTATGTAAAGGTTTCATTTTAATGTTGTTGTTTTTTGTAAAGGATTTGACTTAGTACTTCCGACAAGGTACCTTACTTCCACTCACATATATAGCTATTCTTGTTCAGTGCTGCCCTCTATTTGCAAACTTTTTTTTGCATGCCACAAGCTTTTCACTCCCACATACCCCTCGATTCACATGGTTTAACCTATTCTTGCATGCAAGTTATCATGTGACAAACCTCCAATAGATGCACCCCACACATGTGACTCGTGTGACTGCATCTATGCTATTCTACCTATCACTTCTCATCTGACAGCACGTGTGTTCAGATGTTTTATTTAGTGCTGTTTTTGAATATTCATTTTTACCCAGTTATGGAACTTAGTCATTTTTTCCATGATTTTCTTTCTTTACCAACACAGCTGTGTTTGGTTTTCATTTGCATTATGAATTCTGAAGTGCAAGTTACCATGATGGAGGTTGTACCTTCTAACAGCACATTTACTCAGATTTCAGGTGGGGGGGGGGGGGCTCAACTTTGGAATCATTGTCAATTATGTGATGAGAGATTTATCATTATTTGAGCTAATCTTCTTGCCCTGATGTTGCCCAACTTCCTCCTGAACAAGCTAAACCTTTTTCCTCCACCTGAATTTGCTGTGTCTTCTCAAGTTTCTACTCTGGGTTTCATTAGGCTTAGTATGACTTTTTTGGACATGATTTTTCAGATATGTTCTTATTTATCCCCCCTAATTTCCTATAATCATATACTTCTTAGTAAATCTCCTGATATTGGCATTCATGGTGAGCATTTTGTATCTCAGTTACGTGAGGATACTGACATGCCTTGCCCTCTGTAGACTTCGGACCAGTTTTCTTTAGCCTACCATCAGGCCAATTTTCCATTCCTTGATTCTTTGCAACTGGAATCCACTTTTGCCCATTTCGGGGATGGACCCTGATTGTCCTGTTCTTTTTTCCCAAGCCCAATTTTATTGCCTTTGTCTTACCCTCACATCTAACTTACATTACTTGTCCACCATACACCTTCTCTCCGAGGTGATCCACTTAGTTCCTAAGGGTTTTATGGGGAGGATACATTTGCTCTAATTACATCCTTGTTGGCACATTTGTCGACCTCGGCTCTTTCTTTACACACATGGCTCCTCTGTTGTTGGGATTTTTTGGAGATAGACACTGTTTTGTCCCATGTTTGTTTGCCATCTCCTTATCTTAGCGACTTACACTTGGCCCTTTTTCTCCATTGGTCAGTGTTTGGAGATCTTTCAGCATTTTTGGAATCCTGCATGGAAACTGAGACAGCAATTGACTCTTTCCTTGTTGGTTGATCATTTGTCTTGCATGGAGCCAGGACCATTCCCTATTTCTGTTGCCCATTCTAGTCCTTCCCAACCCCTACCTACTTATCATTTATTCAATGCCGAGTGTCATGCCATCAACAGTATCGGTGACTACCCTGTAGATTCTGGTCCAGTGGGGACTCGTTTATCCCAGTTTGTTCATCGATGGTGAGAATTTGTCAGAGATATATGGGTCCTTCTGGTTTTATTCGAGGGACTTGTCATCAACTTCCTCTCCCCCTTCTCCATTATCTCGAATACCCATTTCCTTCCCATTGCCTCAGGATCCTACCACATGTCAGCATCTGTCCAAGGCAGTACAGGA